GCAAAGCATCAACAAGACGATGAATAGCCAGAAAAAGACATCCATGAATTCCATGAATTGTCTAATAGTACTAAATGCATTAACAATGCGATATTAAGCTCCTTCATCCGTTGACTCAAGCGGCGAGCTTCTGTCAGATTTTCATTCCACAAGAAGAAATACGACTTGCCCCCGACCAGATTGTTTTGCCGATTATCCACTTGTGCACACGGGCTTGCACGGGTATTCCAGCCCCGAGCGGCCATGGGCGAGGGCGCAATTCGCACCACCGAATGGCACCACTGAATGGCACCACGATATCCACGGCCCCCGCCAGCATGGCCCGCTCCAGGGCAGGAAAGTCGCACTGCGCCCAAACACTGCAGTCACGGGTCCATGGCGATGGCGGCCCGTCTCTTGGTCCAGACCGTCCAGGCAGGCCCCGGCGCAGCAGCAATCCGACCGGGGCACTGCCACGAGAATGAATCGAGGAGCGGCGTCGCCGCTGGGCTTGGTTTTGCAGGGAGCGGCAAGGCCCACGATGTTCTTGGGGCGGGCGAAAAAACACGGCCCCAGGCCCTCGCACCGGCCCCAGCACCGGCCCTTCGCACCGGCCCCAGGCCCTCGCACCGGCCCCAGCACCGGCCCTTCGCACCGGCCCCAGGCCCTCGCACCGGCCCCAGGCCCTCGCACAGACCCTCCCACCGGCCCCAGCACCGGCCCCAGGCCCTCGCACTGAGACAATTCTGGGCCGTTGCAAACGGCCGCCACGCGCAAAAAAATACGCAGTTGTGCCGGTGGTCCCAGCCACGGCCGTGGCCCGAGCACGGCGCCGGGCCCGGTTGCCTGGCCCAGGGCGGGCGGCTCGAGATGACGGCCCCCCCAAGGCGGCCCGGCCCAGGCGAGGTGGCGGCGCGCGGGGCCAGCGCCGGCCCGCGGCGGGTCGGTGGACCTGGGCCCCGCGCGCCCCGTGGGCCCTGGAACCGCCGCCCGGATTCCAGGCGGAACGCGCTCCAGGCGAACGGACCCCAGAGCTTCGCGCCTCCAGCCTCCGCGCCTCCAGCCTCCGCGCGAAAAGACTCCGCGCTAAAAGACTCCACAATCACGGACTCCACCATAAACTCCACCATAGCGGACTCCACCATAACGGACTCCCCAAAAAGGACTCCCCAAAAAGGACTCCACAAAAAGGACCCCATAGTAGAGGACTTGAAAAAGGACTCCCGCCCAGGACCCCCGCCACGCCTCGCACGACGGCGTTCACAAAGCACGGCGCCAGCATCTCCCAGCACCGCGCCAAAAACACCCGCCCGGCCCGCCATGAACCAGGTGTCGACATTTCTCGAGAACATCATCTCGGTGGAGGAAGCGCGGGGCGCCGACGTCCCGCCTCAAGCTGAGCCTGGCCCAGAGCCTGGCCCAGAGCCAGGACCAGAGCCCACCCTTGAGCCCCGATCTGAGCCCGCACAAGCAGAACCAGCACCACCAAAAACACCAACACCACCACCAACAGAAACACCAACACAAACACAACCACAAACACAAACACAACCACCAACACAAACACAAACACAACCACCGCCCGCCACAGAGCAAGTGTCCGCGTTCTGGTACCTCGAGGACGACCCCCGCAAGGTGGCCAACCAGTTGACGGACCGGCTCTTGGAAAAGGTGCTCGGCGTCATGCTCAGCGCCGAGCCGCGCGCCGGCGCCGGCCCCGACCAGCGCGCCGTGGTGGCCCGCTCGCGCCCGCCGCTCTCCGTGCACCTCATGTCGTCCAACACCACGCAGCTCGTGCTGCGCTTGTCGCCCGTGTGCGAGGCGCTCGCCGGCGCCGCGTACTGCGCCGCGTGGCACGACCCCTGGCACACGCTCGGCGCCGCCTTGGCCGCGTCGGTGCTCGTGTTGCGGCCCTACGTGGCCACCGCCGTGCCCGCGGCCGTGGTGCTCGTGCGCTGCTTCGTGCCCAGCTACTTGCACATGTACCCGCCGGACCCGGTGCCCGGCGCCGGCCGGCTGCTCCGGCGCAACCCCGTGCCGCACGCGGGCCCCGCGTTGGCCCGCGCGGAGCCGCCGCGGCCCGTGTCGCAGTTCTCGCGCGAGTTCGTCATGAACTTCACCGACTTGCAGAACCTCATGGTGGTGTACGTCCGCGCGCACGACGCGGCCGCGGGCTGGGGCCGCCACTACGTGCTGTTCGCGGACGCGCGGCTCAGCGCCGTGGTGTTCGTGGGCTTGGCCGCGTCCATGGCGTTCAACGTGGCCGTGCTCCCGCGCCTCTTGCCGCGCGTGCTCGCGGCCGTGCCGCTCCGGGCGCTCCTCCTCGTGGCCGTGTGGCTGGCCACGGCGCTTCTGCACCCGCGCGTGCGCCGCCACGTGCTCGACGCCGTCGGCTCCGAGGACGCCCGGGTGTGGCGCCGCGACGCCATGGACCGCGCCGAGACCGCGCTCGTGGCCGCCGTGGCCGCGCCGGCCGCCGTGCCGCCGCCGCAGACGCGCCTTGCCGAGGTCTACGAGTTGCACGTGTGGGGCGCGGCGCACGTCTGGGAGCCGGTGGGCTTCACGGGCGACTTCTATGCGCTCAACGACCCGCGGCGCCGCCGCGGCGCGGCCGGGACGCCCTTCGGCGCTTCTGCCGGCGCTCTGGACGGGGCCGGGGCCTTGGCCGGCGCCTTGGCTGGAGCAGGTGTGGATGGTTCCGGGGCTGATTTCGAGGCTGGTTCAGGGGCTGGTTCCGGGGCTGGTTCCGGGGCTGGTTCCGGGGCTGGTGGTTCCGACATCGATCCCGGCACCGCCGGCTCCGCCGCCGACGACTGCGCGCACATCTTCCGCAAGGCCACGTTGGCCGAGATCAAGCCGCCCGAGCACTGGCGCTTCGCCGAGGCCGCCTGGCAGATCGACCTCCGCCCGCGCCGCTGGGTCGCCGCCAACTGCATCGCCGACTTGGTCAGCGTCGACGCCGACGAGAAGTGGGTCTACGACGCCACGCCCCCGCCGCACGGCGGGCCGCTCTTCCGCCGCCGCCGCTGGGTGCGCCAGTGTGTGCGCGAGCCCGCGCCGCGCGGCGAGCTGCGCGACTCGCCCGCCGCCTCGTCGTCCGAGCGCTTGTCCAAAACGCTCTCCACGCTCTTGCTGTAGCCTACGGCATGAACTGCAACAAGGGCGCCTGCAGCCCGGCGCCCTGCTCCCGCTTCTCCGCGAGCATGGCCGCGAGCTCCGTGCGCTTCTTCTTCTTCTTCTTTTTGCCGCCGGGGCCGCCACTGCTGGGCTCGCTGTGGGCCACGGCCTTGCGTGTGAGAAGCGCGTGTCGGCTCTGATGCCGACACGAGAGACACGTGGTACGGAGGGTTCGCTGGCGGGGCACCGTGGGGCCCCGCCCGGTGCCGCCTTCACCCGCCCGGGCTCCCACTGAGTCGGGCCGGGCTCCCGCTCCATTTGGCCCGGGGCCCGTCTTCTTGCCTCGGCTCCCCGCCTTTCGGGCCCGGGCCGCCGCCTTGTACACCACGCGGACAGAGCTGGTCAAGCCTGGAACATGGCTCACGCCACAGCGCTCGCAGTGCGTGTGGCCAGGCGGAAGCCGGATGCCCTGCTCGTACGCATTCTGGTCCAGCGCCACCGCGTGCCGCGCCAGGAACGGGCTGAAGGCGCCGTAGTGCGCCACGTTGAACAAATGGACGGTTTTGGCTGTATCCATGCTGTCGTGCTGTCGAACTCGCCTGGGGTTTCTCAGACGGCTCTTATCTGCTGGGTCCTGGAGCTGTCTGATGCCGGCGCACGATACAGGTCCGCGCGATGCCCGCTGAGCTTGGGTCCAGGCCACGGGTTCCAACTGGCACACCTGGCAAGTCACTCGCCCTCCGTCGGCACTCCCAGGCCCGTTGTTTGTGAAGAGCATTCTTTTTCCTGGGTGTTTTTTCTTCAATTCGACCGTCGCCCGGCATCAGCGTGGTGTTCCTTCCAGAATTGGCGCAGACTCGCCATGCGCACTCATCCTCCTCTACGCGCGAATGCTGTCTGCGGAGTGCTAGTTCGACAGCATACCGCGGAATTGCACCCACACAAGCGAGGCCGGGGTCCCAGCAAAGAACAATAAAGCGAAGCACCAGCAAAGCAAAACAACAAAAGAACACAACAAAGCAAAGCAAGAACAACAAAAACACAACAAAGCAAAGCAAAGAACAACAAAAACACAACAAATCAAAGCAATAATAACAAAAACACAACAGAGCAAAGCCACAACACAACAAAAAAAGACAGGGCGTCTCTGCTCCACTTTGCCAGGGCACGCTGCTAGCTCGCCAGGCACCGTGCCGACGGACCGCTTCGTGGCCCTGCTGTCCAATTAGGGCCTGGTAATAATCAGCGCGCGCCGTGTCCCCGCGCCGGCCCGACTTGAGGCCCTGCGCGCGCCACGGCATGGCCGAGCAACGGCCCAAGATTTGGCCCTGCCGCGCGTCCCCGGCGCCAATGGGCACGCGCCAATTATTCAGCTTGAGCCGCAGCGCGCACCGCCCAGCCCCGCTGGTGGCCATTTACTTACCGGCCGCGCGTTGACAGGCCGAAGCGGCCTTCTGGCCCTGGCTCGCACCCCACCTGCGGGGCCACGGCTCGGGCCAATGCTGCGCACGCGATTGTTGCGTGATGACAAGCTGCCTGAGATCCTCATTGCGCCGGACCATTACTACCCCTCGACGCTCCACCGAGATCCAAGCCAAACACGTTTCTTCATCGTTCTTCTCCATACCCGTCCGACGCGGCTCCACACCACTTAGAAGCATCCGCGCTATTCCAACACGCTAGTCTTGCAGCTTGGCTTCTTGGATCTCCCGCAGCAGCCAGCATCCGTGACACTCGTGCCTAAAATACAAATCAAGCTAAGCAATTTAAATGGTGTCCATCATTATGCAGCGAAGACGGAATCTTATTGTACCCAAGGCGTTGGTCAAGGGTGAGAAGGTGCTTAAGCTGTGCTCTCGTTGCAGACACAACAAAACCAAGTGTGACGCCTTGTTGACGAGCCCGTTTCCGTGCTCGTATTGTTCCAGGAAGAACCTTCCGTGCAAACTCGATGTGACGAAACCGCCCAAGAGAGAGCACGACATCACCGAAAGAATAGTGCACGAGGTGCAAGAGTTGCACCACAAACTCGATGGCTTGATCTCCAAAAAGGCTCTTCTCGTGGAGAAGCTCATCCAGAATCTGCACGTCCCCGCTCCTCTTTCGCCAGCAAACTCCGTCATTCAATCTGTTCTTGACTCCCCGTCCAGGCCTGCCGCAGAACATGAGCCCATATACATTGACCCCATCCCAACGCTATCTCTCGCGGACTCGTTCACGATTCACTCCAGTCAGAATTTGGGCCTGGTCTCGGTCTCGTACGATAGGGCCGTGTCTCTTTTCAAGGTTTTCGAAAAATCGTACTGTCCGCACCTCTCGATTCTCCCGAGCTCCTTTTTTCAAAAGAAATTGCATGCCATATACCAGGAGAGCAACATGCTTTTCTGGACCATCCTTGTCACGTCCTTGTTGACCGAAGGTACTTCCGAAGAATACTCTGATTTGGCGGCGCATGTTCAAAACTTGGTCGTGGTAGATTGCTGGTTCAATACTCCCCGCTCGCTCTATTCATTGGTGGCCTTGTTGATTTTGACTACCTGGCCATTACCGGACAACCGCGCTCTGCAGATCCAAGACTGTATTTCTGTGAATTACATCTCGCTCATGAAAAGCTTGGCTCTTCAGTTTGGGCTTCACAAGTTGACTTTCATCAATGAGTTCAGCAAGAAGACAAAGATGGAGTTAGACAGCGAGGCTGGGGTCAACCATGCCTTTCGCGAAAGAATCTACAAGTACGTGAACATCAACTCAAACTACTGGCTAGTTTATCTCGGGCTCTCCACCTCTAATTACAACGGCTTTCACCAAGACTTCATTGTTAACCGAGCTGCAAACTTCGACATCTTCAAACAGAGCAAGTTTGCAGAGCAAGATAACTTTATCAATTCGCTCCTCAAAGTCTCTTTGGTGCAACTGAAAATGAACGAAATCATCGGCGATTCGGTCAAGGGCCTGAACCAAGTCAGTAAGCTCATACACCTCAACATGTTTGAGCAAATTTTGGATGGGTACAAGAATGAAACTTCGCCATTGTTGAAAAACGAATTGATTTCTCTATCACTCGAATTTTCGAAATTGCAGCTTTACATATACTACCTTTCACGAAGTGATATCAACGTCAACGAGTACAAAGCAGTGATTTACCGGACGTTTTCTTCTTGTAAGGCGATTCTTGATCTTTTCCAGAAACAGTTTGGAAAAAGTCTGAACTACTTTCTGATCCCAATCCATTACCGGTTTAGTGTGGATTTGGTTGCTTTGACCTTATTGCAAATTCACTCGTCTCCTCTTTTAGTGTCGGTCGAACACTACATTGACGTGAAGTCACAGTTCTTGCGCTCCTACAGCGTTTTAACAAATGAAGGAAACCCAGGATGGGTCAGCCTGAACCAAAAGTTTCTCACCATACTCCGCAAGTTTGATTCCTGCGATAAAGCAAAAATTTTGGCATTGAAATCTAAGAAAAACTCATTTTTCATTGTCGACAAAATGGCTAATTACTTGGTTTCGGGCTTGCACTACGAACTGCTCTGGCAGGTCTTTCGGACTGAGAAATTGACGGAGTCTGTATGTGCTAAAACTATAGACTGGAAGCTATTCGGGATCAACCCAGACAATCAACAGCACAGAGAAGTCATGGAATACGTTATGAATTCTAAGCCCATTTTGGCTCCAAGCGAATAACCTGACATCAACTCAATAATATTATAGCATTTATGTATATCATCTTCAGTATCTCTCTTTTTTTGTTTTTGATTTTCTTCAGATGTCAGTGATGCTGGTTGCGAGCTTAATCAATCCATTTCTGGTTGAGCTTCTTCGAAAGAACAAGCGGCTTGCTGAACAAATAGGCGGCGACTAAGGCCGCAATAGTTAAAATGAGTTTGGGTTTATCGAAATCGCTTTTGAGCAAGTCATAAGAGGATGAAGGTTGCACGATAGTGCAGAAGTCATTTAATTTGTTGACAAAACAAACCACAGACGTAGATTCGAGCTCCGTGGGCAGCACCAAAATCTTCAGATTTTCGCTGACCTGAAGCTTATATTTGTGATTGAGGACCTTGAATGTGTTTTGTGGGATGCCAGGCTCATATGGAAGCATGCGGAAATCATCCATTTGATCCTCGGTGGTCAACTTGCGGCCGTCAACTCTCCTGCTATTGAGGAGAAACTTGGGAATATCAACTAAGCTTCCTGATTGTGTGAGCGCAATGATAGACTTGACGGTGATGCCGAATTTGGTCACTGTGGACTCAAGCGACATAATGCGCTCCGGATATATGAAAGTTTTGGCGGATGCCGTGACATTGGGAGAATTGAAAGCGGTCTTTTCAGCTCCCGAGATGTCTTTGGTGTCTTGAAACAAATCAATAGCAACGAGTCTTTGTTCGCTATGAGGCGAGACCACAAACATTGAATACACGACCCAGTTATCGGTCTGTGTTATGCAGATTGACTCGAGATCAATCAGTTCATCTTTGTGCTCTTGAGTGTGGATAACAGTTCCCGTGATTCCGTCTACAAGTGTAAAAATGACCTTGCCATTGTCCTCACTTATAATGGAGACGAGATTTGGGTTCAAGTACTTGTAGAGAACGGACCGGTCGTATCTTGCAATACCGCCTGCAGATGTCAAAGTATTGCTGTTCTTAGTGACCGCCAAGAGTCTATGGTCGGGTTTGTGCCATTGCCATGTGGGTGTCAAGCTTGTTTCATCGACTCTGTAAGCTTGGAGGCTGTTCGCATATTGATGAAGAATAAATTGGGACGCCGACACGTTCTGCTCACCAACAAGATACTCCAATTTGTCTTCAATCTTGACAGCAATGGCTTCGACTGTGGTATGCTCATCCAACTCGTCTTGAGGAATGTCGGTGACTAGAGTAACAACTTTTTCAACAACGCCATCAAAGACCCTCGATGCAATCAATTCACCTGAAACAAGATCGAGAGTTTGAGCTGCGCCATCGAAGATGATAAATGCTTTTGAGCCCAGAGCCCTTACTTCTTGGATCTTGCCCCCATCCTCAATAGTGTGGATCCATAGGACTCTGCCATTTCTGGAGCTCTTTGCTGCAACTTGCAGCCGTTGGTGATCGATTTGAAGAAGAATTTTGTTGAACCCAAACACGTCTTCATCAGTCAAAGACGCTTCTGACTTTGTCCTCGAAATGATATTGTACAAAAGCCGACCAAATCGAGATAAATGTGACAACACCCTCACAATCCAGCGGTAGATGATGCTCAGAGAACGTGATTCTTCCACCAAGTGATGAGCTTCTTCAATCCTTGAAGCCAGAGGGGGTATATTTACAATGATGCTTTCACCCGTGGCAGAAAACAGAGACAGCAGCAAGGGCGAAACACGAGATGAGTCTGATTTGACGTCATAATCGTGTACTATCACTTTCTCGCCGGATTTATCACCGTTTAGGGTGATAAAATGGCCTGAGGTCAAAATGGCGTGCTTCAAGTAAGGTAACACCTTGACCAGGCCGTCTTGTATTGATGGCTCAGCGCCCGTGTCCAAGAATTTTGCCAAATCGAGAATATGCGCTTTTTTCTGGGTGATCACGACAAATGCCTTGTTCGAAACTTGGACGTCAAGGATCTCATCGTAGACCTTGCTGAAGACAGTTTTGGGTACACCATCAGAGATTGTGGACAAGACAAGAGATTTCCCACAGTAGCTAACAATGACGGTCTCTGTAATGAACACTTGAGTGCTCTGCTTACTTTTAAGCTTGCCTCCGTCAGCCAACATCTGAGGAAATAAAAAGTCCGAAAGTACACCATGGTCCAAAGTAGCAACCTCCAAAACACGGCCTTGTTCTTTTTCCTGAAACGTGAGCAGGAATGCACTCTTTTCTATGCACAAATACGTTGTATCCGGTGCAGAGAATTGTGAGAAAGAATGAGCAGAGAATCTACCTAGCTTGGTCAAAGTGAGGCCGTCCCATGTGACGAGCTCGTTTTCAACATCTCCCTCTTGGAGAAACGTCCACCCGTAGTTGCTGTATGGCTTTATTTGTATTGGTGGGTTTTCAAGCGGGATTGAAACGATGAAAATGCCTGTTTTTCTGTCGAAGACTGAAACCAGAGAGCTGTGGTTCGAGAACGTCGCAATCGTGGCGTCGCCAACCATGAAATCGTTGCTTCCATGGAGAGACAAGTCAATAAAGCCTTTTATTTTCGAAGACAGAATATCTCTATAGTACAAAATGTTACTCTCCGAGAGTTCCAACACGGTTTCATGGTCGATTAGCGCATATTTGATAGCAGGGCCTAGATTATAGCTGACCCAGTCCTTCTTGAACGCGTCATTAACAAAGACTGCCTGGGCAGTAAACACCAACGCTAGAAAAAGCGATAGAAGCGTGGCCAAATTCATAATGGAAAAGGCTTGAAATTTTGGGTGTATTCTGCTGGGATTACTACAACACCGGTGCTATCGATGTCTAGTGCTCGGTATTTGGGTGCGAGCCTTGGGTCTGGCATACAGCGCAAGATTAGAAGAGACCGAAACCAGTCACGTGCTTTAGTGCTGGGACAGTTGGAAAACGGCCCTGGTACAGCGTTTTTTCTGAATATTGCTTGGCTCATAATTTATGGAAGAATAAATGCCGAAGCCGCTATATAGCAGTGTCTGTTATTGTGGTGGGTGTTCACTGGTATGATAGTGGCCGCTGACGAAATTGGGTGCGAAATTCTCTGATCGACTACGATGCCACCAATGCAACGTTCAAAGATGGCATCAGCTAATTTCGAAAGCCTGTGATTTTTTTTGGAAGATTAAGAGTTGCATGCGTGGAGTATGTTTTCTCTTCTTAGTGAATCTCAACATATTGTTGACTAATCAATCAAAGAGACACGATGCCTTCAAATGTTTGTGTATATCAATTTTTTTACACTTGATTTGACAAACATTCCCGAAGCGATAAAAGAAAAGACCTTGCCAAAAATTTCCTGAATTTTGTCTTTGTGATATTCTTTAGTTTTGGCCAATGTATAGAAAACGGCTCATCTGAAAGATCCAGTCGAACTTTCCAATACTTCTTCAAAACCTGGCTCCAGCACTTGATTTCGCACGACCCAATTTAATTGCGCCCCTCGTCTCCCCACACTGATATCTACCGCAACTGTGAACCTCAAACTTTTCCGATCCCACCCCAAATCAAACAGGTGGAACGAAAACAAGAACTAGTTAACTCAATTGAAAAATGCACGCACGTGACTGGTTTATGGTGTTCCTCGCCGTTCTTCTTCCCCCACTTCCAGTGGCAGTGAAGAGGGGCTTTTCTATGGACTTGCTTATCAACGTGTGCCTTTCCATTTTCGTATATCTCCCAGGATTGATTCATGCGCTATACATCATATCCAAATATCCCGAGCCGGAATCGCATGTGCACCTTGGCGAACACGATCAACCGCAAGGGTATGGAGCCGTATAAGCTTTTCATTTCCCATTTCTCGAGCCCTGTGTTGGGATCTAGAAGTATATGCTTGAAGTTTTTGCTAGAGGATCTGGCTTGTCGCTCCGCAGGTAATATCCCGGTGTATATTCTTAATTAAATTACCTATGATGTTATTAACTATGTTATGGTGAGCTAGATGTGCTGTGAGCTTTTTACATTGTTTACTAGGCTAGCTGGTTGTTATGTAAGTGATGTATGCCGTTAGCCATGTATGCTGTTAGCTACGTATGCTGTTGGCTACGTATGTTGGTGGCTATGCATGTTCTGTTTGTCGTGTCAAAATGCACACCAATGATACCTAATTTTAAAGGGCAGCACTAACAAAACATCAGCAGACAATCAACAAGTACCAATTTCAGTCAAAATTCAATCAAAGAGGCTTATTTCACAATGTGCCTAGCGAAACCCGCTCCAGCCAGGCCGGGTCACGTGAGCCTATGATCCTGCATGCTGCCGCGCTGGGTGCTACAAAATCTGCGTCTCTTCCCAGAACCCACCACTCTCTTCTCTCAACAAATACAACGTCGATTTCTATCTTCATCTGCTCGTAGAACAAAAGCTCGCCCAACTTAAGTTGCCCGGTCTGAGGAAACTCACCTTTTTAGCGAAAGGGACACCGACGCAATGTGTCTATGGGCGAAGATCAATTGCCCGCACCTGCACCATGTTTAGAGATGAGTGTAATAGGGCCGCAAGACGAGCACGTTCTTCCGAACCCCGGCTTGTTTCAAGACGGGGATCTCGGCTGGGCGTTTTCGACCATGCGGCTCTTCCCTATGCCCATGCTGTTGATTCATACAGGGCTTTTCGGTACGAGGCGTGGGTCCATGGCTGTTTTCGTTTTGAAAATCGGCCGGTCCCTTGTTCTTGTGCGGACTTCCCGAAGAAACAGCAGGGTATACTACGGGTTTCGTTTTCATCCCAAGCACGCGAGGCTGCAGAATCGCTTTCTGCAACCCGGCCTGCGTGCTTCTCTGGTCCGGTGTGCACATTCATCATTGCAGTAGGAAGTCTTTTGTCTAGAAGGAAGTCGTTTTTTCAGTAGGAAGTAATTTGTCCACATGGAATGTAACAGGTTCTTTCACGCAGGGTTGTTTGACGTTTGCCATTCGATGTCATTTTTTCAGTACTGGGCAGACTGATAGGTTTCCTCACTGGGCGTACTGATTGGTTTTCTTACTAGCCATACTGAAAGGTTTCCTCGCTAGGCGTACTGATTGGTTTTCTTACTAAGGATTCTGATTGGTTTTTTTACTAGGCATTCTGATTACTTTTCTTGCTAGGCACACTGATTAGGTTCCATACTAGGCATTTTCGTTGGCTCCATCACTAGGCATACTGATTAGGTTCCGTATCAGGCATTCTGATTGGGTTCCTTGCAAGAAAGGCATTCCAGCACTGTGATGGGATTCAAATATCTGTTCAGTATGGATCTATCAAGAAAAACCACGTTTGTTATTAGCACGATCCGATGCCGAATCAATAGAAGATCATCCAATCTCGAACGGTCTCTCTACTGGATGTGCTGTCAAGGCAACCAGAGGTAGTTGAATTCTGAAAAGCGTCATCTCCAGAAATACATCCAGCACGACGTCTTTCAATGAGTTCACGTCCACTTGGGGTGACGGCAACAAAGATGTCGATTCGAAGCACCACCGATTTCCCTCAGTACCCAGTAGAATCTCGACCGGATGTGATATCGTGCTCCATAGATTTCATCTTTGGAAAACATTTTGGAAAAAGATGTCAGTAAGTCTTTATCAGGGTAGGAACCCATGAGCAGTAAAGCTATTCCCCTCCACTATCCTCCCATGGTGTTATAGCTAGCCTCCAATATCAACAGTCAGCGGAATAGCCATTCCCCTCAGATATCGACCCATGGTGTTATAGTTAGCCTCCAATATCTTCCTTTAATACATCATCCCAACGCCAACAGAACTGTATTTAGCGGCCACACCAAAGCCTCCAATAATGCCCCGAGGATGTAGACCAACAGTGGAGCCCAACGTTTTGCCAATGAGATGCGGCACTTTAAGAAGTTCACGGTCTCGCTCCCCTGAATAAGTTTGCTTGGACTCCGAACGTGGTCAACAAAGAAGCACTCCGAAGGGCCACTCCAACAAAAGGCTACTTCATAGTCAGAACCTTCAGGAGTGCTCACTCGACGTCAAGTTCCAATTCTCCGCCACGTGGACACGAGGCGATCCAATCCTCTGAAAATGCCGTGTTTCCAGTCAGATCTCGCCTGCCAGCCTACCTGGATGTCCCGCCACCAACCCCACCTCACAAGACCCAACCGGCCAGCCCCTCACATGCGGTGCAAGTTCTCCGCCAACGCGTCGACCTCGCTTTTCTGGGCCGCAGGGGGCCGGCCGCCGCCCTGTTTCCAGAGCCACAAGGCCTCGATGGCATAGCTCCGCACCGAGAGGTTGCGAGTGCGTGTCTCGTCACTGGCCTCCGTGAGCGATTCCACCACGCGGAGGCTCTCGACCAAGTCCCACATCATGTCCTCAAACTGGCCCATGAGCTCATGCGCCGCGGCCTCGAAGCCGGAGGCCGCGTCGCCCGGCCCCACGACGGGCATCACGTTGTACTTGTGCAAGCCCAACTTGTGCAAAACGCGGCCCAACATCTGGATGCCCAAGCAGCGCTGCGTGGGCACCACGGACCGCGAGAGATGTACCAACTCGCCCAAGGTATAGCCCGCAAGCTGCGGGTTTTCTGCGTGGTGGTGGAGCCCCAAGTGCGTGGGCGTGTCTCGCGCCTTCTGGTCGAGCTGCACCAAGTTGCCTTTGAAGTCGAAGCGCATGTCGCCGATGGCCTCGTACGACGCCACTGCGTGCGTGGGCATGGGCGTGGTCATCCACGCGAGCTTGCTGGTTTCCTTGGGCAAGTCCGGGAAGTACTTTTCGTGGAGCCGCGAGAAAAAGGCCGGGTCGTCGAGATCCAAGTCCGGGTCCTCGCGGGCGGGCCTGGGCTTGGGGAAATGCACCTCGGGCTGCGTCTCGGGCACGATTTGGTAGCCCTCGGGCGCCACCTCGGCGTCTTCGTCCGGGCCTTCGGCGTGTTCTTTGTCCTGTCTTATTTTAGCGGTTTCGTCCTGTCCTTTTCCATGTTCCTCGTCCTGTTCTTTTTCTTGTCTTTCTTCCTGTCTGTCCTTGTGTTGCCTGTCTCTGCACAGTCTCTCTCGGGCAGCTGGCTCCCCATTCTGCTCGTCATCCCAGGCTGTTGGCTCCTCGACAAAATGGTCAAGCGGGTGCCGGTAGTCATCGTCTAGATCACTGAGCAGATCGGCCGGCGCAGCAATGTCGTGCCGCACTTCCACATCCTCCCTGAACGACACAGACTTGATGCCTAGCGCACGGTTCACATCCTGGTCGTTGAGAGCAGGGAGACTCGCGCCGTTTTTGCCGCTGCCGATCCAGCCGCCGTACCCCTCGGCATGGTCGTGGTCATGGTCCGCCACCCGCGCCTCTGTGCGCCGGAGCAACGTCTGGACAAGCCGCGGATCAAGGCCCTGGAGAAGCTCTTCGCGTTCGTGCGTGAGCTCGTCCTCCGTGAGGGCAGATATCTTCTCGAGGTTCTCGCGATGGATGCGCTGGGCCTCGGTCAAGGACTCCTCGTCCTTGGGTGCAGAGTGCCGGGCGCCGGCGTGCATTTTGGACTCTGCCGGAGACAGCCTCGGCCCGCCCGATCTGAACCGGGAATTCCGCGGCTTGAGGCCTTCGAATTTCCTCAACTGGGGGAACCCGCTGGCCGCGGCGTGCTGGTCCACGACGGGGTTTGAGGGGGCGCTGGCCTCGTGTTCTACAATGTCGCCAATTAAGTCCATTTTGCGATGGTTTTGACGGAGGTTTGCACATCTGCCAAAGGTGCGGCGTGAAGGCTGGGGGATATGTCAGCTGGGGCGCGCCTGCGGGCCCGGGCGAAAAAGGGCACCCGTGAAGGCACTGCTCAAAGGCCCTGTGAACGGCTCCGACGCCACAGGGTAGTTTCCAAGATACAGGGTGTTTTCTGAAATACAGTAAGTTTTCCAAAATACGCTTTTTGTCTGCGTCTGTGGAAGGGGCTGCAAAATGGGGATGGGCCGGGACTTGCTTTGAATCATGATGCCTTAAAGAAGTGGACCTGGAAGTGGCGCTGGCCGCGGCCCTGGAAGTGGCCCTGGAGACGGTCTGATGATGGGCCGACATGGTGCTGGAGATGGCCCTAAAATAATCCTACCCTTAGATCGTTCTGCCCGGAGATAATTTTTTCAGAGACAATTTTAGAAACTCATCACTCCTCGAGTCGCTCAAGACAAACCAGCATGGTTTTGGAGCTACTCAAGGTCTCTTTCTAGAAAAGGCCTGGCATATAGTACATCCCAGGCGTCCTCAAATTGGCCCAGGAAACGGCCCTAAGATTGCCCCAGACACGGCCCCAAGCGGGCCTCCGATTTCCAAAATCAGCCCCGGGCGACTTTATAAATGTACATCGCTTCTTCGTTTTGAGTTTTGCTTGTGGAAATGCCAATAACTGGCCCTAGAACCGCGGCGCCCGAACCAGGCCCTGGCCCCGCGCCCGGCCGGACCTGCACCTCTTTTGTGGATGCAAATTGCAAATTACCAATTGCCTTCTACTAAACCCAGCCACAGCTTCGTTTGCAGCCTCCCGGAACCACACACAAAAGGGCCCCAGGTATCAGAAATGCCCAAGGAAGACTACCTCGTGGACTGCTTGCTCGGCAAAGGCTCGTTTGGCGAGGTCTATAAAGGCAAGAACTTGCACACGGGCCAGACGTTTGCACTCAAGATCATAGACTTGGAGGAGGCCAGCGACGTGCGGGACCTCATCAAGGAAATCCACTTCTTGTCCCGTGTGCGGTCCCCACACTTGACCCGCTACTACGAGACGTTTCTCCAGGACACAAAAATGTGGATCGTCTTGGAGTATTGTGGCGGAGGCTCGTGCTCGGATTTGCTCAAGTGCTTTGGCAAGCTCAGGGAGCCCGTGGCCTGTTTCATTTTGCGGGACGTGCTCCATGGGCTCGAGTATCTTCACGGGCAGCGCAAAGTGCACCGTGACATCAAGCTGGCCAATATCTTGCTCACCGACGACGGTAAGGTGAAGCTTGCGGATTTCGGCGTGAGCGGCGAAATGTCCTTGACTCGAACCAAGAGAAACACCTTGGTGGGCACGCCCTACTGGATGGCGCCCGAGGTGATTTCCCACTCGGCCAAGGGCTACGACACCAAGGCGGACATCTGGTCCACCGGCATCACGGCCATAGAGTTTGTCACGGGCCACCCACCGCTTTCTTCAGTGGAGCCCATGGAGGCGCTCTTCAAGATCCCCAGCAACAAGCCGCCCGAGCTCGAGGGCATCCATTTCTCCGAAGACATCAAGGACTTTGTGCGCTACTGCTTGATCAAGTCCGCAAAGCAAAGGCCCAGTGCGTCGCTGCTCCTCCACCACCGGTTCATCAGCACCTGCCCTGGGGACGTCGATATTGGCGAGCTCCTCTTGAAGAAGCAAGCCCGCGAGTTGAACCTGAAGAAGAAAAAGACCAAGCCGGCACACCAGGCAAAGGTAGAGCGGAACCCGTCCATCCATTGGAACTTCACGGCAACGCTTTCCGGGGCCAAGCACCCGGACCCCGTGCCGCCACCGGTGGCAATCCTGCAGCCGCAGCAGCTGTCGGTATATGGCAACTTCATCCACGAGTCACTCTCCAAGGTCATGGCTCGGGCCAAGACCAAGGTGGCCCGGGCTTGTGTGGAAAACTTGCGGGACGAGTTTTCGCGGGCCGAGCAGAGCAACGTGGGGCTATGCCATGCGTTTATCGAGGAGCTCCGCGTCCTCATTGACGACTACCGGTGAGTGTGTTGGTGTGCTTCGGCAGCAGGGACACACAGTGCAGCAGCTGGCGAGCCGGGGACTTTTGCTTTGATTCCATTTGAAAAAAAAACATGGCGATCACGGGTTGGGGTACATGCGCCTTTATTTGGGCGAACGCTCTTTGCTTGAAGAGAGATTACAGTAGAGCGAAGCAGGTCTCAAGTCTATACCAAGACAGGGATGCGAGGACTTGAGCAATAGAGAAAGGCGCGAGAGCAGAAGCAAAATACAGAAACGACTCATCACTTCCGCGTGGAGTGGATGAACAAAAGGGAATTTGATACTACCAATAAATTGATTGCGAAAATACGACACGCAGTATTCCGTTGGTTGGGCCCAGAAAGAGCACATCTAGCTGTAGAGACTGTTTTCAAGGTTATTTCTTCAGCGTTTTTGTGAAGTAAGTATTTACGGGCCAAAGCATAGGCGAGACCGGTACCGAGGAAGCTTCCAAGTGTCTTGTTGGAGAGAATTAAACATCTTGGGGGTGCGAGACGCGGCGCGGCTTAAGTTAACGTAGATACGGGGCACTGCTTCAACATCTTTTAGTATGGAAATGTGATTTTTTTTGCGGCAAAAAAAGCTTAAACAAGATATACGACTCAGGAATCAGGGAAACAAAGCAGATTGAGGCGAGCGTGGTTAACGTAGCTGACTTGGGTGGACGGATTGGCATATTATTGCAATGAACAAAAATAGCACTCAACCATCACAAGGGTTGAACAGCGCAACAGTGTGCTGGGTGACGAAGCTGAGTGGCGTGGGTCGTGAAGAGAAACAAAGTTGAATGAGCTAGATAACATAGCCAAATGGGCTAGATGATATAGCCAAATGAGCTAGATAAAACAATTAAATGAGCTAGATGATATAGCCAGATGTGCTAGATAAAACAATTAAATGAGCTAGATGATATAGCCAAATGAGCTAGATAAAACAATTAAATGAGCTAGATAACATAGCCAAATGAGCTAGACAATATAGACAGATGCGTTAGATAACACAGATAAATGAGCTAGATGATATAGCCAGATGTGCTAGATAAAACAATTAAA